AAAAAAGACAACTGTGGACCTCCTGGAAGAAGGCGTGAGCTCCAGCTAGGCAAAGATGTGCTTTAGATATAAAACTTAACATAGGACCGGAATAGCAGACAAGCGATAAGCCTGAATTTCATTAAATTTTACACCTTCTGCTCTTCCATGTCATCATTAAGAAGAGGCAAAGACAAGCTGCAGGCTAAGAGAACGTCTATAACTCGTGCATCTGACCGAGGGCTCGGCCCCACGCTCTAAATAGGCCCCGGGTCTCGCTGACATCAACAACTCAGCGCAGGGCGGAGGCAGCTGTGCGCACGCGGGGGCAGGAGCTGCACACCCCGCCCGCCCGGACACAGGGGCGAAACACACAGCCGTCCAGCGAGCAGCGGAGCGCAGGCCTGCGATGGGCGTGGCTCAGATGTCACCTCCAAGGTGGGGAAAGTTACAAAGATGATCACCAATCAGCAATTCCAGTCGAGGACGCAGAGAAACCAAACCCCAGACACGGCGGGAAGGAAAGCAGAAGGTACAGCCCATGTGGGCCTACCCAGCCCGCAGACCCCAGAAATTTATGCAGGAGGAAGGAAAGAGTACATCGGCGCAGACACTCGGGCACAAGGGCTTGCAGCGGCATTGTTTACAGTGCCCAGAAACTTAGCCAGGCACGGTGGCATGCGCCCGTGACCCCAGCATGCGGGAGGCTGAGGGTGCCCACGGGCTCGAGGCCAGCCGGGGCTACAAAGTGAGTTCGAGGCAGCATGAACCACATAGCAAGACCCTGTCTCAAAGAAAAAAAAAAAGGCCAAACTTGGAAAGAAACCAAGGTCGGGTCACTGGTGAACGGATAAAGAAAAGGCCCACGTGCGTAGTGGGACACTTTGAATGCGAGGAGGAGTGGCCTCCAGGCAGATGGTCGACTCGAACTGGGGAGAAGCCGGCTGGAAGACTCTTCTTACGAGAGCCCTCCAGAGCTTGCACAAAAGGGGAGGGGACCTGGAAGGGAGGGAGGAGGCCAGAGGAACAAAAGGTTGTTCTGTCCGTGGCAGGGGCCCCACAAGTACAATGGTTTTGCACTGCAGATGCGGACTAATAATAAATAAGAACTGGAACCAAAGAGGCACCCAGAGTCGGGGAAGCCGTAGAGACAGAACGCTGACCAGTGGTGGCCTGGGGCTGGTGGCAAGGGGGAAAGGGATGGCTTTGGAGGGACAGAAATCTTCTAAAGGGGGCTGTGATAATGTTTGTATAAGCCAACTACAATTGATCAGCCGTATGCTTTCATGCGCAGAGAGGGGCTTTAGATGGAGTCTTGCTATGTAGTTCAGGCTGGCTTTGAATTCACTATGCAACCCAGGCTGGCCTCAAACTTGCAGCAATCCTCCTGCCTCGGCCTCCCGAGTGCTGACAGCACAGGTGTGTGTCACCACACTCAGCTTACCAGCTGCACACTTGTGCTATAAATTTTTCTCACCTAAAGCTTTTGCAGCAGTGTGGAGGTGGAGCTGAGCGGGACAGCATTTGCCCAGCGAGCATGAGGCTCTGGGTTCTGTCCCTACATGGTCCCCAAGAAAAGCAGTAAGAAACAGACAACATAAGCGTTATCATAGTAGCCTTCTGCAGTTTCCTGTTCTGCGGTGCTGTGTCACATTTCCGCACAGCCCAGTGCCGCAGCTTTGTCCTGCAGCAAAATCCAATTCTGCACCCACTAAAACATCACCTCCTCCCTCCTCCACCTCCAGTCACTGACAACCACCTCCTTCTGTTTGCTGCTGTGAGTCTGGCTGCTCTACAAACCGCACATAAGAGAACTGGGCTTATTTCCCCCTTCCACAATATCCTCGAGGCTCACCTATGTCATGTGCCAAAATGTCATGTGTCATGTAGCATGTGCCAAACCTGTTTCCTTTTTTTTTTTGGAACCGGGGATTGAACTCAGCCCTTGCACTTGCCAGGGAAGTGCTTATTCCACTGAGCCATCTCCCCGGCCCCAAAAATGGCAGGAGTCTTTTTTTTTTTTTTCTCAGAATGCCTTCAGGGCAGGTTTGACTGGCTGGAGTTCTGGGGATCAAACCACAGCAACCTGAGCCTGACTGCTTTGTTGAAGCAGGCACTTAAAGAGCTGAGCTAAGGGCAGGCCCCCCGTTTCCTTTTTAAAGGCTGTATAATATTCCACTAAACTGATGGATACATTTTATAGTCTACAAATTATACCTCAATGGAGCTTTTTTTTAAAAAATAAAAACAGGCAAACTTGGGTTCATGATCACTAGGGTGGAGCAGTGTTTGGAAGGGTTGCACTGGGAACCTGGATGGACTCCCCTTATGAAAGCTGCGCTGGGGACCCGAGTGGACTTACGAAAGCTTGTGGTGCTGGACGCTTTTAACACATGCCCTTCTCTGCACGTGAATCTGTCTTAGCATGCAGCTTTCTAAAAAATCCTGGCAGAGATCCCCTCTCGGGTTCCCCTCAGGTTCAGAGAGCACTTAGTGTCACTGTGAGGACCTCAGCGGTGACTCCGTGTTGTGAACAGCTGGACCCTACACTTAGCAACATTCCACAGAACTTCAGCTGTGGGTTCCAAACATTTGTCACACAGCCACAGCTGCCCCTGAGTGTCCCCTGTGTCCCCTCCTGCTGGGGACAAGCGTCCAGGCCCAGAGCCAGGACAAAACTCACTCTGCAGGACGAGGGTCACCACCTTCTTCACGGCGCCCACCTCGTTCTCGGCCAGGCACTGGTACCGCCCTGCGTCAGCCATCTGCAGGGAGACGGGGCTCAGGACAGGACGGTGGCAGTGGAGACCTGCGTGCTACCCTCCACGGGGCCCCAAGGCTACTTGCAATAGCTGCGCAGAGACGCCAACCCTCTCACTTCTAGACCTGGGGGGAGTGATGAGCGCTGGCTGCTGGCCCGAAGCGGAGGGTTACGATTCAGATCCGCCCCCACACGCCGCTGAGCTGTTCCAGCTCTGTGGTACCTCAGCTAGCAGGCATGGGGGCTCTGTGGGCAACGATGTCTGGGAAGCACTGAGTGGGACAACCCATTCCGGTCCTGCGGGACTTCTCAGGACACTGACGGTACCGGCTGGCGCGGTGCACCTCCCAGGGGCCGCAGAGCCAGCAGGGCTCCCCCAGGGTAAGTGGCCAGGACTTACCCTGGCTGCCCCGCCCCAAAGCTGTATCTGGAAACCTCAGGGCAGGGCGGGGTGTGGGTGCACTGGATGTTCATGGCCACGGTTCTGAGCAGACACGGAAACGTACCTGCCTCACCCAGAAAGGGACCGGGGTGGCCTGAGGCTGTGCCCAAGCCCAGGTGAATCCAGGCAGCTGCGCCACACCACGGGCAGCCCAGAGCTAGCTGTAGACACCGGGCGAGGCCAGACCTACGTTCACCTATGGAACCATTGCTGCAACATGATAGGTGTCTGGTGCCTCGGTTTCCCCATCTCTACAGTAAGAATGAGAACCACTAAGGTTCTATTTTCAGTATTAAAATAGCACCCAGTGCCTTCACACGGGATGACATGGGCAGTGATGTTTCATTTTATGAAATAGGATCTAGTTAAATTGCTAAATGGCCCAGGCTGGACTAGGACTCACGGTCCTCCTGCCTCAGGCTCCCACAGTGCTGGATGACAGGCGTGGCCATGGCTCCCCTACCACTGCTGCAAGTGTTAAGCAGAAGGATGCTGCGCAGTGAGGGTGGGGACCGGCCCTGGTGGCTGTGATCGCTGCAGCTACTCTCCCGACCCGGCTGTCATCTGAACCCAGCAACAGCTCCCCAGTGAGCCAAGGGCCTGAGATCACTCATGCCTGGACAGAACCTGGGGTGCCCTAGGGAAGCAAGGAGGCCTTGCCCCGAGGCTGTATCGGGACACCTCAAGGGGGGGCGTGGAGAGCCCGGCACAGGCTCCTTCCTCCTGCAGATGCTGGCTCTTCGCTGCTGTGACCTCCAAGGCCGGTATCTGTCCAGTAGAGGCGTCACTGCTGCCCTCTGTCCAGGGCCTTACAAATAACAAGGCTCTGGGATGCAGCCACAGGCCACTCTCGGATACCTAGCATGGGACTAGGATCTGATTCTTGCTGTTTCCCAGAAGGAGGAGAAAGTTGTCAGCCATGACAAGTGGCTGGGCTGACAGAATCAGAAAAGTCAATGGTGGGAGGTCGCACTGGTTGTGGTGGGAGGGTATTTGGGGAACCCCAGGGCAAGAAATGCTTTGTAGACGTAAAAGGGAGTGCCAAGTTAAAAAGCCCCCTCCCCAGCCACCAGATGCAGCACAGTGCTATCCTGGGGTCGCCCCTTGCCTTGGTCTTGTGGATGGTCAGCGAGCCGTTCTGCACCTGCAGGCGGCTGTCCCACAGCGGAAGTCCATCTTTGGTCCACTGGATGTCTGGGACTGGGTCACCGTGGACCACACAGTCTAGCTGAATGCTGCCCCCTACAGGCTCCACCAGGTGGGAGAAGGCTTCGCCTTGTAAGACAGGGGCCTCTGTATGGGGCAACATCAACAGAGGGGTCAAGAGGGAGATTTCTTGGAGGCTCAACTCCCATAACCAACCCCCAAAGTTCTGCCTAGCCTCTGCCTTCAGGGGCTGTGTGTAGTCAGTGCATTGGGAACACAAACAAATTCCCTGTCCTGGCCTTGTCACATAGACTGGGGAATCTGCAATAGATTAGTGATGCCTGAGATGGGCACAGGCAGGAACACAGGGACACGTGTGTCAGTCACCGCTGTCATAGATTCAGATGCCTGCCAGGTATCTTGGGAAGCAAGAACTACAGGAAAATGATAGCACAAGAACCCTCTATCATATGCAGAAGCACAGAGGTTCATGGGATTCTCAGAGGGCTGTCAAATGCTCAGGGCTGCTTTCTTCCCTTCCTGAATTGACCAAGTATTGCAGTTGAGTCCTGGTACCTAGAGCACTGGTCTCCTCCATCAAGCCCAGCCCACTTTGCAGTTGTGTCGCTGCAAAGGTCTCCTGCCCTGCCCCTGGTGGAGCCAGGCTAGAAGGAACAGACAGGGAGCCAGCAAACTTTGGGGGTTTTCCTCCTTTCTCAGCACAGCACTGTCTACCACAGGGAGCAGCCTCAGAATATTATAAAGTCCCCCAGCAGGTCCCAAAGTGGGAAGCCACTACTTAGAGGACAGGAGCCTAGAATCTGGGAAAGCAAGCTCTCGGGCTGCCTGGCCATCTTAGGGTAGAAGGTGTCTGAGCTCGTGCCCTACCCTTCACATGCACAAAGCTGACCGCCTGCACGCGGCCCACTCTGTTCTCAGCCCAGCAGACATAGGTTCCGCTGTCCTCTCTGGTCACTGCTGCCTTCTGCAGTGTGCTGCCCCCATCCTGCTCAGACACGCCATCTGTGGAGGAGAAAGTAAGGTCCCAGGTTGCTGAGTCCAAGGGCTGTTCCCTGTCACGGGAGGGGGGGCAGGTTGACAAGTCAGGCCCACTGGGGCCCTCCCAGACCCTGAGGAAGGGGCTACAAAGCCTGCACCATGCAGAAATGTTTGCTAAGTGCTCACCTGCGATGGGTACCACAACTCTAGGTTAAGACCTGGCCTGAGTATTCCTCTCTGGTGGCCTCTTACCAGAGCCCACGGGGCCCATGGACAGCCTCCTCCTCCCCGAAGTTCCCACCTGCCCCATTTTCAGCTCAGACCTGTGACTGGCTGGTCGTTGACAGTCCAGCCAAGGCGGGGGGTCGGGCTGCCCCGAGCCGCGCAGCGCAGCCACAGCCTGTCCCCGCGGCGCACACTGCGGTCCCCTGGCAGTGTGGTGAAGACGGGCAGCGCCAGGACGGTGAGATGAACGCGCCGCCGGGCCCGGCCCACTGCGTTCTCCGCCGTGCAGGTGTAGGTTCCCGCGTCTTGGCCCTGTGGGAAAGGGGTGTTGGCCTAAAAACTGTCTCCACCGGGAAACCAGACCCAGCTGCTTCCCACGCTTCCCACGGAGCACGCAGCCCTCACGAAGGGCGCACAAGCTCGCGGCAGGGCGGCTTCTCCGCTGCATCTGGTACTTCCCTGCCGGAAGAAGGCGCTCCATTCCTCGTCCTCCTGGCCCTAACTGCACCACACTAACCAGAGGGATTACGCCTGGGGGGGACCCACCTAAATCTTCCTGGCCCCACCCACTGCCCCGCCCCACCCACAGCCAGTCCTGGCCACGCCCATTGCCACCAACCCCCCCCCCCATAGCCACTGCCCTGCCCACAGTCCTGGCTCTGCACCTCCCAGGTCCAGGGACCATCACCAAGGTAATGCTTTGGGAATGCAATGTTGTCACCATGCTCCTTCTTCATGGCTGCCCTCACCTCCAAATTCTTCACCAGTAGTTCCCCCGAGGGCTGGAGGCTGAATTTGCCCTGGGCTCCGGACACGGTCACTGGCTGGCCGTTCTTCTCCCAGCGGATGTTGGGCTCGGGGCTGCCTCTGGCCACGCAGGGCAGGAGGGCGTGGGAGCCTTCCGTGGTGGACAGGTCCGGGAGGCCGCTCTCGATCACGGGAGGCACTGCGGGGATTGTGGGGCAGAGAGACGGTCACCAACTGGCGCGCTCGGCAGCGGGCTATTGCTACTAACAAAATCCTGGAGGGATGATCCGGCTAGGTTTCCTGCTGGAGGGAGGACAGGGGGTGGGGTCTGCGCCTGAAGCGGTCCCAGGTCGAGAGAGGAGTTTCCTTTAGCTCCAGGAAGCAGCCCTGGGACAGCGCCCAGAGCCGGTAGCTGAGCCAGGCAGAGCCCTGAACTTCCGTCAGCCGATCCAGCTCCCGCTCCCCCCCAACCCACCTTGCACCACCAGCCGCGTCCTCCCCATGGCGCTGCCCGCACTGTTCTGGGCCATGCAGAAGTAGTTCCCAGCATCCTCAGGGTGGGCGCGGATGAGCCGCAGCTGTCCACTGGGGAGGATCTGGCTTCTCACTCCTGGATGCAGAGAGAGGAAATCAGAGTCCGGGGGGTGCGGGAGTGCTTGAGGGCTGTTTGAACTGCTCTGACAGGCAGCAAGTGACTCACAAGTGGCCTGCAAGCCTGGTCGGCAGCCGAGCCCAGCTGCCCGCTCCATGGCCTCCAACTCAGCCACAGGGCACCCAGTTAGGATCTCAGGCTACGGTGACATGGTGACGTGGGGCAGGGGTGAGGGCTGTGTCTCTAGAGGGGTCTGGTGGATTTTGTGGGACTTCTGGGCAGGCAGAGGGACCCACAGTTCCTGGAGGACACTTCAGAAAGTGTCCCCCCAACCCTTGCAGGCTGCTATATATCTTACCTGTAGGGATGCTGAGCCCCTCTTTCTGCCAAGTGACAGTGGGCCGGGGGATGCCGGAGGCCTCACAGGGCAGCAGCACCTCATCGTCCGCCACCACCTGGACCACGCTGGGCAGTGGCTTCACCACAGGGGAGGCTGTGAGGGCACAGGAGACAGAGGTCCCTGGGGACACCTCAAACCAGCCCCGCAGAGAACGGGGCACCTCTCAGCCAGGTCTCCTTTTCTAAGAGCCCCCATGGGGATCAGGATCTGACAGAGTCTGTGTACCTGGGCCACTGCCTGTCCCCCAGACCTGGCCAGAACCTTACCCTGCACAGTGAGGACCACATGCTTGTGGGCCACTCCAGCGGCATTGCGGGCCGTGCAGGTGTAGTGGCCGGCGTGGATGGGCAGCGCCTGCCCGATCTCCAGGGCACCTGTAGGTGACAACAGAGTCAGAGATAGGGTCCCAGTGACAGAGCTGGCCAGGCTCCTACACAGCCCCACCCTTTGTTTCTGGTGCAGGCCACACACATCACTATAAACAGTACCAGGAACAGAGGCTGCCCCAGCTGCTTGTGTGAGCAGAACTGTGGGCCTCAGTTTACCTATGAGTATGAGGCACAGCTGAAAAACAGAGTGAACATTTAAACTTAAGAAAATGTGTTACAGTAAAAAACACATTTCCATGAGTCTCCCCCAGAACATTTCTGCTTGCTTTGAACACAAGGACCACAGCACGCCTGCCGCCGTCTGCAGCAGCTCTGGAGCCCTCTTTGCTGAGGTCGTTAGTCGCCCTGTTCTTGCTGCCTTGAAGTCCTGAATCTCTTCAAGACCTTTCCCTTCTGGGCTTCGCTTGACTTTGGGAAGAAGCCAGAAGTCACACAGTGCCAGACCCAGCAAATAAGGGGGAGGATGAGGACATAGCGTCATGTTCCTATGAGCTGCTTTCCATTGGGCTGCCCTTGGCAGGACCCCTCACCTTGTTCTTGATGACAGCATACAAAGAAAGACACTGAGGAAAGGGCACTTCCGGAACCACCGCAGAAAGTGTCAGACACAGTGCTACCCGTGTGTATCTGAGAGGGCCGGCTCCGAGGACGCTAATGACACTGTGCCACTTATCGTACTACAACTTTTAAATTTAAACACTCACTGTATCTTTTGACCATGTCTGGTGCAATAACAATCAGGGGACATGGTCTCAGCGTGATATTCCAGGACCTGCCATTGCTCTGCCTGAAATGGCTGACCCAGAATTCTCTGTCTCGCTCTTTTGACCACGTTCAAAAACCAGTGTCCTTGGGGCCGGGGAGATGGCTCAGTGGAATAAGCGCTTCCCTGGCAAGCGCAAGGGCCTGAGTTCAATCCCCGGTTCCGCCAAAAAACCAAAAAACAAACAGGTGTCCTCCAGGGAAGCCTCCCGGGATTCCTCCCCATTCTCCTGTCCTCACCGCACCACACTGTGGGCACCCCTGCACGCCTCAGACCACAGGCTGTGTCCACAGTCTCTGTGGACTCCCAAGAGCCCCTGGGTGGTGGAGGAGCCAGGCCTGGTGGCTTCAGAGTGCCCACAGCCTGGCCCCGCGGGCTCTGGAGCTGTGAAGCGCCTTCAGTCTGGCCCCACTGTAACTGTGGCCAGGAGGAAGTGTTTTGTTGTCTCAGGTGACTTTACAAACCACAGATCTAAGCAGTAGCTCCCATCCTAGAATGTCCCTAAACAACCAACAAATAAATTTAATTTGAGGAGATCCCAGAAAGTTGCTAACCATTCATTTTGACAAGCAAAGACCTGCTAAAAAGCACCCTGTAGCCAGGATTGCAAATTCAAGCCCAGCCTAGGCAATTTAGCAATTTTTTTTCTCCCCAATCTTTTTTTTTTTTTTTTTGGTGGTGGTACTGGGGATTGAACTCATGACCTTGAACTTGCCAGGCAAGCACTTATTCTACTGAGCCATCTCCCCAGCCCTCCCCAATCTTTTTGAGACAACATTGCACTATGCAGTTTAGGCGGGCCTTGAACTCACAATGTAGTCCAGGCTAGCCTCAAATTTGCAGTGACCCTCCTGCCTTAGCCTCCTGAGTGCTGGGACGTGAGCCACCACACTCAGCAGTTTGGCAATTTAACAAGATCCTGTCCAAAGAAAATAGCCCTAGGGATGTAGCTCAATGTGAAGGCCATTAGTTCAATCCACAATATTAAAATATAGATATAGATAGATATAGATATATTACTATTATCTTAATTTCATCAGAGAAAAGAACTTTCAACATCAGAGATTAAGAGCATAATTTCAGAATAAATAGCAATTGTCCTCCCGGGATAAAACTAGTTTTATGAACAACCTGGGAGCTTCGATTTCTCTCCTTTTGCCAGGAGAGGCCCCACCCCCCACTGGGTCTCAACACTGCAGTGCCCAGAGGGGAAACTGAGGCTCAGGAGGGCAGCATCTTCTCCCTGTCACACAGCGAGGGGTCAGGGGAGCCGGGCCAATCTCTCCCTTTGCACTCTCCGAAGCTGCCCCTCACTCACCAGAAGGAGAAATGCGGTAGCCGCTTCCCCGGGCCCCCAGCTGGGCCCCTGCCTTGCTCCAAGACACGGTGGGGACCGGCACCCCAGTGCTGTGGCAGGTCAGGACCACGGGTGCCATCCTGGTCACGGTGAAGGCCGTCTGGTCGTCCGCGATGGTTGGAAGCTCTGCAACCCAGGACGAGGACTGAGCCGCCCTGAGAAGCAGGGCGGGCAGGCGCGGGGCGGGCAGGTGCGGGGCGGGGGTGAGAGCTACATCCAGAGGGCGACTTCAGTGTCCCCTGTCCTGCCTGTTCCCACCACCAGGAACAGTGCCGGGGCCAGGTTAGGTGAGTGGGCCAGGGAGTGGGACCCAGGAGGCTTCCTGGAGGAGGGTCCACGGCCGCCCTCACTCACCCTGCACGGTCACCTGGTACAGCTTGCGGCTCTCGCCCACCTCGTTGCTCACCACGCACTCGAACTGAGCTGAGTCCCGGGCACTGGGGGCCACAAGCAGCAGGGCATTGGAGGGCAGGAGGCTGGACGGATGGACAGACAGACAGACTGACAGACGGCCAAGGGGGCAGCCGGCCTGGGGAGCCAGCATGGTCGTCCCACCTCGGCTTCAGCAGTCTGGATGGGGACTCTTCCCAGCTGCTCCTGTGTCCCTGCCCAGCCCTGACTCTAACGTGTCTTCCAACCCTGTGTGGTAGCACACACCTGTCATCCCAGCACACGGGAGGCTGAGGCAGGAAGACCGCCGCGAGTCTGAAACCAGCCTGGGCTACAGAGTGAGCCGAAAGCCAGCCTCAACTGCGTAGCGAAATGCTGAATTAAAAAAAAAAAAAAAAAATCTTCCTCCCGACAAAAAGAAAAAATGCCTTCCAGAAGTTTTTGCTCCTCAAGTATCAGCTGTTGGGTTTGTGTGCTTTTGTTTCCATTCTTTGTTTCTCTGTAACTTCGCACATTTGATGCAGTAATTGCTCTCCTAACTTCCGTGCGGACCCCTCTGGAAGACCCACTCGGAGGGCTCGCTCTACGGAGCGCCTGCTTTGAGCCCTGACGTTCCATGCCTGGAGAGTTGAGGGAGCGGGGCGGGCCCCTTTAATCCTCCACGTCCACTGAGCATTTAGCTAAGAGAGCAAACCACAGCCCAGGCAGACACAGGCCAGCGCACCCTCCACCTTCTAGGCGCTGTGGACGGAGCCCGGCCTCGTGCACACTGGCCACTGCCCCGCCACGAAGGAGCAGCACCCCGCCCTTCCATGTTCTGTTTTTGATGTCTGACTGCATTGAGCATAACACTGCTGTGTTTCCCATTTGGCACAGAATGTGTAAAGCACCGGGCTCCCTGCCTGGCCATCCTGGCCACCTCAGTTGTGACCCTACTGATCCCTGGAGCCTGATCCCTGCCTGTTTTCCTGCCCAGGCCCCTCCGGGAGACAGAGGCTCAGGTGCCCTGAGCAGGACCAGCTCATACCGGTAGGCGCCCTGCTGTGTGCGGAGGTCCAGCTTCTGTCCGTCTTTCCACCAGGTCACCTGGGGCTTGGGGGAGCCACTGGCCTCACAGGGCAGTGTGGCCGGCCTGGGTGCGGTGAGGGTGAAGTTGGAGGGGCCGGGGGCGATGGCTGGAGGCTCTGGGGAGAAAGTGGCCGTAGGAGGCACATGCAGGACCGTCCGAGGCTATGCCAGGGGCGGAGCCTAGGTCTGGGGTACTCACTAGCACCTCAACCCACCCTACAGAGCAGAAAAATGCCCCAGGGAGTCACTAACAGGGCCCTGAGGCTGGGGATTCTGGCCTCTCCTCAGCCCTGAGCCTGACATCCCCCAACCCCCTGCTCCGCGGAGCTCAGCTGCCCAGCATCCCTGTCCCAGGCCAAGCCTTCTGAGGGATCACCCCCCACGGTGGACTGGAAAGCGAGTTTCGGGAGAGCATCTGCCCGTTAGACCTGCTGCGCATGCTTGACACTCGGTATGCAGCGTCGCAGAGTGAAATAGCACAAATGAATACGCACCCTTCGCATGCGTGAGTCAAACTGCTTACCAATGGTTTTTAGGTTAACACCCCTTGAAGACAATGGCTCCTGACAGCTGGGGCACCCAGAAACTAAGTAGGATTGGTCCCCCAAAGGGACTGGCTGATGAAGGCAAGGAAAATGCCCCTCCCGGACCCACCTACCAAAGACCTGGAGGTCACGGCCCTGCCTATCGGAGCCAGCGGAGTTGGACGCCAGACAGAAGTAGTGGCCGGCGTCCTGGGAGAGGACAGGCTGGATCCTCAGAGACCCATCACTCAGAACCTCCACCCTGGAATGGACAGGAGGGGTTGCCATGGAGACCAACAAGTAAGGGGAAGGGCTGAGAAGGGCTGGGCCTGGCTCCCTGCAAGAAGTGCCAACTTGGGGCTCCCTCACTCTGGATTTGGGAAGCAACTCCCCACATCCTGCACCATGTGATCCCGCCCTCAACCACAGCTGATTGGACCAGAGATGAACACATCACCCTGCCTGGGCCAATGGCATTCTCTGCCCTGGGAAACTGGTCTTGGTATTCACAGAGGGTGAGCTGAAGACGTGGGAGGCATGAGGATGTTGGGGTAGTATCTGCTGAGCTCACAAGGATGGAGGGAGGGGGAGGCAAAGGAGGAGGAGGAGAGGAAAAGAAGAAACCGAAAAGAGAGAGGGAAGGGAGAGGAAAAGAAAAAGCTCACTTAAGGGGTGACCGAAATACAAGGCATGTAGTGAAATAAAAAGTATTTGTTACAGTAAAGAATGCATTTGCTGTATTCCCCTCAAAATACACACTCCTTCAATGTACTCATCCGTCATCCCTGCCACTGGCTGGCTGTGGAGGACCAGCTGAACGGCGCCCCTCAAAAGAAGAGCGATTGTCTCCATGTTGGGTGAGCCGGACCCTACTTCCTTGTATTGACATGTACAGAGCTGACCAGGACTTTCCTTATCCCTTCAGCTGGCTTTAAGCAATGCATATGGATCCAGCCGAGGTGCTGCTGGTAGTCTTTAAGATGACATGCGTGTTTCCCTGGTAACCCCCACCTGCTGCTTGACCCTCGAGGGTCGAGTCGGGACAAAGAGCCACTGCTCCATGGGCTGGGATCCAGCTTTAAGACAGAGGCTATGGGGGCTGGTGAGATGGCTCAGTGGTCTAAAGCACCTACTTAGAACAAGCTTAGCAAAGCACAGGGACCACGGTTCAATCCCCCAGCACCACATGCCAGCCAGCCCCGCCCCCTGGTGGGCTGAACTGGACACACACACACACACACACACACACACACACACACACACACAAATAAATTTTTAAAAAGATAGAGGCTATGACTTCCTGGGGCTTGAAAGATTGCACATCAGAGCTGAAGCACCGGACCCCAAACCTTAGATACTATCTCAATAGTAAAATACAGATCACTTTTTCTGCATATGCTTCTCTCTGCAGAAGACAGTTAAGTGCAGGCCGCCTACCTAGCCCAGCTCACAGCACTCGCTACTTCCTGCCATTCTCAGTCATTCACCCTCAAGCCTCTCCTCCTTCATGACTGAATAAAACCCCAGTTTGGCCCTGGTCGAGGCCTTTGCTCCTGATGGCCATCATCATGGCTGGACCTAGGGCCCCTTGGCTCCCCATAACTACAGCTAGGCCTTCGTGCCTTTGTTCTCGCCTTGGGTTGCCCTGGAAATGGTACACTAGAATGCACTCGATGGGATTCCAATAATGCACCCACGGGATTACAAATATAAACCTCCCTGACTGAGATGAAGACCAAAAGGGCTTCCTTATAGTTTGCTTCCCTCCTTTTTTAAAAAAAATACAGACCGCTTCCCAAATTTGTGTGTCACCTTTGCACAGGGGCCATGCTAATCTCCCTGCACTGTGCCAGTTTCAGTATATGGCACCAGGGCCGTCTTCTGCAGCAGCTCTGGAGAGCTCTTTCCTGAGTGTCTTCACGAGGTAGGAGCAAAAATACGGTGAATGGCACTGCCAAGAAGCATCCGTTGCCAAGGCAGGCTCATGAAGACACCACTCTGTCCTTTCACCTTACGCACTGGATCTGGTACCGGGAGACCTCTCCCTCCTCCCCGAGTCATAATGACTATGAAAGGTAAGGGTTCTCAGTGGGTTCAGGACAGCCCAGCTGAAGGCACTCAGGAAAGGGTCCTGCCGAGCTGCTGCAGGAAGCAGCAGGAATGGTGGGATCAGTGTGTTCAGAGAAGAGGGAGGATTCTGGTGAGGATGCACGAGACTGCCTTTTAGTGTAATACATTTCAAAAATTATTGATTCATCTTTTTTTTTATAGCATCTCATATACAGAAGCAGAGGTTTGCAGGAGCTCGCTGGCTACTGGGGATCTCGAGGCTGCCACACACTAGCTTGCTGGGCCCTGTCTTCTGAGAGTCCCCCACACAGAGATGACAGTCTTGTTCCACTCCATCTGCCCTGGGTGGTTCTGTCTGCTGCCCACAGAGGTCCTGAGAACCCCCAGTGCCCACCCCTCAGTGCCCACCTGGGGCTCCCAGGATCCAGTGGTGCTCCATCCTTCCGCCAGCTCACAAGGGGCGGGGGCTCCCCGCTGGCCCTGCAGGGCAGCAGGGCCGTCTGGTTCACAGAAGTGTTCACGGTGTGTGGTCCCGGCTGGATGGTGGGCGCCACTGTGGAGGGAACAGAGGGGCAGTGCTGGCGGCAGGTGCCTACACAGGGCTTGAGCTCAGGCGGTTGGGTGGGCACACTCACCGTGGACCTCCACATGGAAGGCCACACTGGCGCTGCCTGCCCGGTTGCGGGCCGTGCAGCTGTAGTGGCCGCTGTCAGCCGCACTCAGGGCCTGCAGCTGCAGGAACCGGCCATGCTCTGGGAACTGGGTGTGTGTGTCTGCCTGCGGAGACCCACCCCACCCACAAAGTCAGCGCAGCCATCAAGGGAACCTCAGGAGGGAGGGAGGTGTGACAGGTGGGGCCTCCACCCTTGCAAGCACTGCATCCTTGCCCCGTTGTGCCGCTGAGCTCCTTAGAAGCTAGACTTTTCTGGGGGAGCACATGCCCTAACCCTGAAGCTTCTGGTCAGGTACAGAACCCTTGAATCCAGCTGTAAACTGGCCCATATATGTGATGAACACAGAGAGCCTCCGCCCCAGCCTCAGGTGACAGCCACTAGGTGTGACTTCTCACCTTGCCTCAGTGTCCCCCAAGCCCGCAAGGGACATGATGGCAGGGTAGAGGACTCCACACAGTGGGTAGGCCAAGTGCTGTTCAGAGCAGGCTTAGTGCCCAGATCCACCCAGCCAGGGCCTGCAGTGCCAGGGTCCCCAGCCTGGCACCTACCTGCAACAGGATGCCATCTCGGTGCCACTCAATCTCAGGCGCTGGCTCTGCCTCCACAGAGCACTCCAGGACCAGCTGCCCCGGAGCCAGGCCAACCACGGAGCGGGGACCCCGGGGCCCAACCACATTTGGAGGGGCTGGGGGCATGAGAGGATGTGAGAGGGAGCCCCACCCTGGAGGTCCCATCCTGCCTCCACCTCTACACCCCCTACCTTGAACTCTGACCCGGAAGCTCTTCTCTGCTTCTCCTGCAGGGTTCTCAGCCAGGCAGGTGTACAGCCCTGCGTCACCCACCTGGGAACAGAAGGATGAGCCAGGATTGGCTCCAGCCTGCTGGGCTCTCATCTGATTTCCTCTTTCTCTGATAAGGGCTCTGGATTTGCCCCCGGGGCCTGCAGAGGCTGTCTGTCCACCTCCCAGCCAGCCAGGCCTCTCTGGGCTCCTTCCCCTTTGCTTTAGGGCTGGTGCAAGGCCAGCCTCTCCTGCAAAGGTCCCCTGGAGTGCACCAGCCCTCCCAGCCTGGATGGGGAGTTCTCTGGGTTTCATATCAGCCATGGCTCTGGTGTTGGGGGACTTCTGGGGGCAGGACTAGGGGACTGTGCGCACTCCCCACACTGAGGAGGAGCTGGAGAAAGCCTGGCAGCTGCCCACCACCCCCAGGGAAGCTGTGGTACCCTCTCCCCACCGCACCCCACTCCCAGCCCCATGGCAGCACCTGCACATCCTCCACGCGGAACACGTGGCCAGCTCTGCTGCCCCCCTCTGTCCCTCGCAGGGCCTGCCCATCCTTATGCCAGGTGATGTTGGGTGGAGGGACACCCTGGGCATCACACAGGAGCTCCATGGGGGCGCCAGCCATCAGCGACAGCTCTGCAGGCTGGCCCGAGTGCTGGATGTGGGGTGGGTCTGCAGGGCAGCATAGGTCAGTGGCAGCCCAGGCTCCTTTCCCTGTCCCCATAACAGGATGACGGAGCATGGGGACAGGGTGCCCTTCTCTCTTACCCTCTACCCAGACACAGACCGATGGAAACACTAGAGCCAGGGCCCTGTCCACCGGGGACAATTTCTTGGGATTTAAAACTAACAAGCAAGGCAAGCGTGATGGCACACGCCTGGCATCCCAGTACGCTGGGAGGATGAGGCAGGAGACTGCAAGTTTAAGCCTAGCCTGGGCAACTTAGTAACTTAGAGAGCCCTTGTCTCAAAAATAAAGGAGAAAAAAAAAAGTCTGGGACACAACTCAATCCAAAGGCTCTGGGCTTTGTCCCCAGCACTATAAAAACAAGAACAAATCAACAAGGGCCAGAGAGATAGCTCAGCGGACTAAGCCTTTCTTAGGCAAGTGCAGGGACTGGGGTTCATCCCACCAGCACCACCTGCTGCACTGGCCCCACCCCTGAACACACTGCGCAGGCCACCGAGACTGGGCGTGGTGGCGCACGCCTGTAATCCCAGTGCTGAGGAGGATGAAAACAGGAGGATCACTATGAGTCCAAGCTGTGTAGTGAGACCCTGTACCAAATAAACTTTTTTTAAAAAAGAAAAATTTCAATGAGACCTAGCATGGTGGTGCGCTTGGCAGACCCGTCTCCAGTACAGCCTGGTGCCGTGAGAGCCTCCGTGGGTCCTTGTGCTTGTATTTGTGCCAGTACCACCAAGACCGTGAGACCCCCCCCAGGAAGGTCTGATGTCCCCATCACTGTCCCCCAGGGAGCCACACTGCCCAGAACCCAGCCCCACCTCAATGCCACCCCAGGCAGCCGCCCCAAGCCTCCCTTCGATCCTGCACGCTTTCTCCACCCGCCCAAGCCCCAGAAACCTCGCTGAGGACACGACGCACCCATCATGGTCAGCCGGAAGTGCCTCCTTGCCTCCCCCGCCTCACTGGTGGCCACGCATGAGTAGGTCCCCGAATCACCGGCTCCTACTCTCTCCAGCTGCAGGCCAGGGCCCTGCTCAAGGCTCTGGGGCAAGAAGGGTTCACCGTCCTTCAGCCAGGACACGAGAGGCAGGGGGCTTCCCTGGGCCTCACACGGCAGAAGCACAGAGGAGCCAGGGGTCGCCACCACATCATCCTGGAAGTCCACTGGCTCCAGGATGGGGGGCACTGTGGGGGAAAAGGGAGAAAGGGACCTGTTCACCCCAAGACCTTGACTCAGGCCCTTCAAACCTGCCAGATGCCCAGCTCCTGGAGAGCTCCTTCTCATCCAGGCCCAGGAACCTCCCTGGGGTCCCCAAGGCCAGGAGCCCCTGCCCTGGCTCCCCCAGCAGCAGTCTCACCCCTGTATGCAGGCACCGAGGCCCTGGCGCCTGGGGTGCCTAACTGCTACCAGCCAGACAATTGCCAAGCAATCGGCTGAATCGTGTGCTCTGCCCTCAGACCCTGAGGGATGTCCTTAGTCCCACCCAGGACCCAGGACCACCTTGGTCCCACCCTCCTGCACCCTCTGTTCCGTACCAAGCACCTGCAAGGTGAAGTTCCTATTGGCCACGCCGGCCAGGCTCACGGCCACGCAGGTGAAGGTGCCCGAGTCTGCTGGCTGCACCTGGGAAATCCTGAGCCCCCACGCCAAGAGGGGGGGTGGGGAGAGGGAGAGATGGAGCCAGGAAGAGAGGTGTGGGCTGCACGGATGCCCCACGATGCCTCTTCTCCTTTCGCCTTCTTTCAGAACAGGAACTGGAGTGGAGGCTAAATCCAGCCTCTACGTCCACCTCTCCTACCCACCTCTCCTGCCTCCGGGTGACTGGAAGGAACCTCCGCCCACCCGCCTCATTTACGCCATCTCACCCCACAATGGAGCTCCACTTCTGGAACTCTGGCAGCCCAGCTGTCCCATATCCAGGACAGGGACGGTTTGCTTATCCTCCCTCTGGACCATCCCTCTGTCCTTGTCCCCACCCACTGTCCCCCACCTCCTCTTGAAGTCCCCTCTGTTCCCACATCCCCTCCTAGCTGCTCCAATGAGGGCCACGATGCCAAAGCCACCTGTCTGTCACTCCTGGGCCCTGCCCTCCTGGTCTCCTGCCCTGTCGACCCCCCTCCCCACCTCTAGACCCGCCCTAATCCAGCAGCAGGCACAGTCCACACTGCAGCCAATCCTGGCTTCCAGCACCACCCAGGTGACCATTCCCAGTGTCCATGTCCCCTAGTTCCTGATGGGGGCTCCAAGGAGGGCACCTGCCTAACACGGAGGAATCTCTCCAGCCAAGTCCACTATGGAGGGGTGCGGGCAGAGCCAGGGCTGGGACACACCGGCTCCCCCATGTGGCTTCACAAAGGGTGCTGTCGCGACCACCCGTGTGCCAGGGAAATACCCTACGAGGGACCTGTGCCACCTTGGTTACAAACCCTTGCGGGCACGATGGTTGTTTTGAAGTTGCACACACAGCCCTTCTCCTTCTGTCTTTAAACAATTCCCCTTGCCTCAACTTCTTTTTAGTTCCATGGTACTGGGGATTACTCGGCACTGGGCCTTCACACTGAGCTGTGTCCCCAGCTCTTATTTTGAGACGGGGCCTCAGTAAATCTAAGCTGTCCAGGCTGGGCTCAAATTTGTGATCCTCTTGCCTTAGCCTCCTGGCTGCAGATGTGTCCACCACACTGGACACAGGCCTGATGTTGCATGTTTTAACCACAAGAAAAAAAATATATTGCTAGCCACACCATGAGCCCTCTGCACTGAAACCCATTTCCTCCAGGCTTCCCAGCTCTCAGGAGACCCCAGGCTTCCCAGCTCTCAGGAGACCCC